TTGCGCTTCGCCCTCGCCGGGGAGTTTCTGGGCCGTTGAGAGGGGCAGGAGGGGAGGTTTCGGGGTGAAACGCGGGCTCCGTTGGACGCTGGGGGTCCGGCCGCAGCTGCTGAGGGCAAGGGAAGCGGCTTAGGCCTTTCCGAGGGGACGGGAGGGCAGCGCGGAGGGGCTGTTGGGTATGAAATGGGAGGGGGGCCGTCTCGCCTTGCTCCCAGCCTGAGTTTCATGTTAGAGCCGCCCGAGGTTACCGCCGTATTATGTCTAGGCGAGGTAGGTCCCGTGGGGCCCGACTTTGTATGGCGCTCTTGTTTTGCTGGGATGAACATCTTCCCCTTCTCTGGCCCTTTCCCTCTCAGGAGCCCGGCGCTTCCTCTCTTGCTCCGTTATGTAGCCAGCCCCACAGCACCCTCCCCTGGCCCCCAGGGCAGTCCAGATGGGCTTCCTACTAGGCAGGATCGGAGCACGGACCTAGGATACCTCCTACCTAATGCAGGAGGCTGCTCTGACCCCAGACCAGATCGCTCTGGTCTTCACCGGCTCGCGCCACGCTGTCGTGTACCTGATGCTCTTGTTGGGTGCGCGGCCCTTGCACGCCACAGGATTGTCTGACTGAGGGAGGGGATAGCGGAGGGAAGAACGACTCTGGGGCGCTGCTGCTGGGTTCAAGCTGGCTAGATTAGCACATAACGCTATGCTTTAGGAATATCGGTTACCCTTGTCAGATAGCACTGGTAAAATCCCAACCAGCAAGCTAGTAGGAAAATTCCTTCCCAGCCTTGCTCTCTGGCTGCCTCTTGCTGAGTGGGTAAGTCCTGGTAATTTCCTCTGAGCTGCGGGGAATGCCTTGGCACGGCTGCACGCTGCCCCAGGGTTGCGAGTTGCCCCAGCCAGGAGGTGGGAGAGGCTGGCAGCTCTGCAGGCAATCCTCCGCTCTGCTGTTGCAGCTGGAGGGGGAAGCTCTGAGCTGTTAGCTCTGAAGGGAGGGCTGCTCTGGCCACAGGCTTGAAACATGAGCTGCCAGGTAGAAGTCGCTCCGTTTTTATGACCTTTTTCTACCCAGGGGCTGTACTAAAGTTTAAGCTGGAAAGGTTTTCCAAAGCATTTGGTGCAAGGGTGTCGTCCCAACCAGCTCATTAGAAGCATTCAAACATCCTCTCCGTGCCTGGAAACTGAAGTTGCTAAGGCCACGTGTTCCTAAGCCAGAGCAAACAGTGTTAACAGAAGCAAAAGTAAACGTTGTGCTTGCGCTCTTGAACTCCAGAGGGCTTTTTCTACTCCGTGTGCTGCGGCGGTTGCTGCCGTCGCTGGGGGGGGGGCTGGGGGGCGCGCTCTGGGTGCCGCGTGCCGGCAGGGAGCGGGCTGGGCGGTGGGTGGTGCAGGCGTGCCGAACAGAGCTGGCCTTGTGTCAGTAACTCAGCGCCTGGCTCCATCTCTCCGCAGACTGTGCGTTCCCTTCACGCTGGCCGCCCTCTCTGCCATGGCTACCGGCGAAGAGATCTCCCCTGCCCTGCAGGACTCGTGGGGCGACTTCTGGCTCTTCCGTTTCTTCGTTAATGCTGCTGGCTATGCGAGTATTGTGGTGCCAGGGTTCCTCCTCATCCAGTACTTTAAGAGAAAGAATTACCTGGAGACAGGTAAGAGGAGCAGCTTCCCTTGTACGTTCTGCCTCCCTGTGAGCTCTCTGCCACCTCTGTCAACCCCGTCAGTGTGGACGGGAGGTTCCCCTGACCCTCTGTTTTACCAGGAGCTACCCTGAAACTCTTAAATTTCTCTGAGGCCCTTGCACCGGTACGTGCGGAGGTTTCCTCTGAGCAATTTGGAGTCTGTCTGAGGCAGCCCAGTCCAGGCCTGCTTAAGGAATACAAGAGCTCATCTTGACTTGCTCACTCTGCCAGGCTAGACAGGACTTTGCGCAAGGTGGGAGTTGGTTTCAAGCCTGCTCAAGGCTCCAGGCTTTGCCTAGCAGCACACGTAGTGTGAATTGGCTAGTAAGGAGGGAGGCTTCCCCTCCTAAGCTGATGTGCCTTGTGGTCCCCCAGACCATGGCTAATTCTTTTTCTTTGTCCTCTTACCCCCTTCAGGCCGGGGCATTTGCTTCCCTGTCATTAAATCGTGTGTGTTCGGCTCTGAGGTGAAGTCTGCGCACCAAGAGGATGGCTCCCTCCCGGCCCGAGCAGAGCCCACAGAGCCCTCTACAGCCCGACAGGTCTTCAAGCTGCTCTTCTGTGCTGCCGGCCTGCAGGTAGGGGCCGTGAGTGTGTGTGTGTGTGTGTGGCCATCCCACCCTGCAGGGAGGAGGTGGACAGCAGGCTTGTGATCACCAGCTCCTTTAAGACCAGGAATGCAGTATTGTCCCTGATCTGGGCAGGGTTGGAGGCTGAGACACAACCTCTTGGCGAGGACAGTCTATCATGGCTGCTGCGTGGCCTCTGAAGGTCCATTCAGGTGGTGTCATCTGGACTGGGAACTCTTGTCTATCCAACCGTTGTCATCTGCAGTCATGGATAAAGAAAATTTTGTGATTCAGCATAGTTACGGCCACTCTTGTACTGGCCCCGCTGCATATCAGAGTGACAGACAGTTTGACCCCTCTCATCCCTCAGGCTCTTCTCTAGGTCCCCCTCTGGGGGTGGTGCGTCCTGTCCTTGATGGATTGGATTTG